GGATTTTCACTCAATTTTAACCACTACACACCTCATACAATCTCATTATATCAACATCCAATCATACAACAACTCACCATTCCAATCCTAACACATTTTCAATATCCAAAGTCATGACAACCTAAAATTTCTCTAAGTTAAAAATCCACATTTTTCACCAATAATTTTTATTGCATTTATGGCTAATACACATCATTCTAAGGCATATTCATGTACAAACATTTTCCAATTGAGCTATCTAAACACATCAATCACAAAATCCCCCTTTAGGATTCATGAAATCAATCACAAGATTGAACCATTGGAATACAAGGAAACTTACTCAAAAGCTTGGCACAAGACTCCTCCAAGCTATCCTAAACCATCGGAGCTCCAAACAACTCCATGAACATCAAAATCCCCACCAAATTAGTGACTGAAAATGGCCTATAACTCACCAATTAGAGGGTTTCAAGGTTAATGGATACCACCAATGTGTTTGGAAGGTTGGTTAAGAAATGATGGATTTAGCAAGGAAGAAATTTTGAAACCTAAGATGCCTAAGGGAGGGGGGAACTCACGGTTTCTTGGAGAGAGAAAGGGAGATGAGAGTGATAATGAATAGTGGAAAGCTTATGTGTTTAAGTGACTTTGAGTGGGGTGGGTCCCACCGCCACCTCACGCGAGTTAAAACTTATTTGAATTTCTCTCCAATTCTCCTAAACGTCCATCAATTCACAACCTATTTAGAAACTCTAATTTTTAGCATTAACCATTGTCCTTTAATTACACTTGATCAGATGAATCCGGAGTTTTCCGGTCGTTCGGAGAAAATGTTGTTTTAAGCTGTTGTGTGCCGTTGGCACGCTTCCCCAAACGGACTTATTTCCATAAAATTTTATCAGAAATCATATTCCCTAGTTTTATAAACCATTTATAACTCATATTTAAAACTTAGAGCTCAAAACTCAATCGACACGCTTTACGGTGCAACTGTACCGCAGTATTTTGACCCGATGAAACACTATTCACTGAATTTTCTGAAACTTGCCTAACCACTCAATTTTTCGTTCTGAATCCATTTCCAGGGTTATTTTTACCATCTGAGACCTTCTACTCAATTTTTTTATCTTCATAAGGTTGCGTGTTAGCTAATTACCGTTTTGTCCTTTCTTTGTATTTTGGTCTAATCTTCAGAATTTTCACTAATCCTTCACTTAATTACTTATTTAATATTTTAATACTAAATTTAGAATTGTGAGGTGTTATAATCACCCCACCTTTTAGAATTTTGTCCGCAAAATTAATTCATACCTGTCCGCTAACTCAGGATACAGCTGGAGAATTTCATCCTCCCGCTCCCAAGTAGCCTCCTCAGGTGTACGTCCTTCCCACTAAATCTGTAGCATTGGAATAAGTTTGCTTCTAATCCTCTTTTCACTGCGGTCGAGAACACCAATAAGACCTACAAGAGTCTTTAAATTCTCTCGAATTTCAATGTCATCCGGTATCCCCACGTGTGATTCATCCGGAATAGAACGCTGCAGCTGGGATACATGAAAAACATCGTGCAAATTTGACAACTGCGGGGGAAAGGCAAGCTGATAGGCCACTAATCCTACTCTTTTCATTATCTGATACGGCCCAATAAAACAAGGACTCAGCTTCCTCACGCCCAATGCATGTCCAACACCCGTAACTGGAGATAACCGCACAAATACATGATCACCATCTTCAAATTCCAGCGGTCTGTGTCTATTATCATAATAACTTTTCTGCCGATTCTGTGCGTGTTTAAGTTTTTCTCTGATCATTTCAATCTGTGTTGTAGTTTCTTGCTCAAAATTCGGCCCAGATCTCTCTTTGTCACCAACCTCAGTCCAACAAGTAGGAGTACGACATCTCCGTCCATACAATGCCTCATAAGGTGCCATGCCCAGACTGGAGTGAAAACTGTTATTATACGAAAATTCCACCAGTGATAAATACATGTCCCAAGCAATGCCCTGCTCCAACGTGCAAGCTCTCAGCATATCCTCAAGTGTCTGTATGGTCCTCTCAGTCTGACCATCAGTTTGCGGGTGATACACAGTGCTTAGCCTGAGCTGAGTGCCAAAAGCCTGCTGCAAGGCTCCCTAGAAACGAGAAGTAAATTTCGGGTCCCGGTCACTTACAATGCTAACCGGTATCTCGTGGAGCCTTACAATCTCCTTCACATATAACTTAGCTAGTTTCTCCGGAGAGAAATCCACTCGCACTGGCAGAAAATGTGCAGACTTTGTAAGCCTGTCCACTATAACCCAAATTGAATCGTGACTAGCCTGAGTCCGAGGCAAACCAACAACGAAATCCATAGAGATGCTCCCTCATTTCCACTCTGGTATATCCAACGGCTGAAGTAAACCAGCAGGTTTCTGATGTTCTATCTTGACTTTCTGAAAAATTAAGCACCTTGACACATACTCAGCTACATCATTCTTCATCCCAGGCCACCAGAACTTAGTTTTCAGATCTTGATACATTTTTGTGGCACCTGGGTGAACAACATACCGACCCTTATGGGCCTCCTCCATTACCTCATTTGCTAACTCTTTGGGCACAACAATCCTGCCCTGGTACATTAATACTCCCTGCTCATTCAAAGCTATCCCACTCTGCCCTTTCAAGTACTTGATACTGTCGTTCAGTATCTGAGTTTCTTTGATTTTCTCATGTAATTCATTCTCAACCCATAAACACCTGAATTCTTCCACACTACCAATAAAGACATCCGCCAATTTCAAATCACGGAATTGCTCAATCACTTCATTATCCCACAATATCAGCTGGGACACGCTGATAAACTTCCTACTCAATGCATCTGCTACCACATTAGCTTTACCCGGATAGTATTTCAGCTCAAAGTCATAATCTTTTATAAATTCAACCCATCTCTGTTGTCTCATGTTCAGCTCTTTCTGATCAAACAAATACTTCAAGCTCTTGTGATCACTGAACACAGCAAACTTCATCCCATACAGAAAATGCCTCCAGATTTTTAAGGCAAACACAATAGCAGCAAGTTCCAAATCGTGCGTCGGATAATTTTTCTCATGAGGCTTCAACTGCCTCGAAGCATAAGCAACCACTCTCCTATATTGCATCAACACACACCCCAAACCTTTCTTGGAAGCATCACAGTATAATTCAAACTCACATTTCGGATCGGGGAGGGTCAACACAGGAGCAGTAGTCAATTTCTCTTTAAGATCCAGAAAACACCTCTCACATTCCTGGGTCCACACAAAAGGAGTATCCTTTCGTGTCAATCGGGTCAACGGCAGTACCATTGTAGAAAACCCTCAATAAATCTACGATAATATCCAGCAAGGCCCAGAAAGCTCCGGATCTCAGTAACAGTTTTTGGTCGTTCCCAGTCCATAACAGCATAAATCTTATTTGGATCCACCGCAACACCCCTATCAGAAATAACATGACCCAGAAATTGCACCTCAGATAACCAGAATTCACACTTTGACGGCTTCTCATACAACTTTTTTTCCTTTAATATCTGCAACACAGTCCTCAGATGCTCAGTATGCTCCTCCTTACTCTTAGAATAGATTAAGATATCGTCGATGAACACATATATAAACTGGTCCAAATACGGCTTAAAAATACGATTAATATAATTCATGAACACCGTCGGGGCATTAGTAAGCCCAAAAAGAATCACCTGGTACTCGTAGTGTCCATATCTAGAACGGAATGTCGTTTTAGGCACATCCTCCGGCTTAATCCGAATCTGATGGTATTCAGACCAGAGATCAATCTTAGAAAACACACAGGCACCCCTCAACTGATCCAACAAGTCATCAATACGCGGCAATGGGTACCTGTTCTTAACCGTAATTTTATTCAATTGCCGGTAATCAGTACACAATCTCATGCTTCCATCCTTCTTTTTCACAAATATAACTGGTGCTCCCCACGGAGACACACTAGGCCTGATAAAATCCTTTGCAGACAGTGCCTCTATATGTTTCTTCAACTCAGCCAACTCCAGCGGCGACATCCGGTATGGAGCCAAAGAAATAGGCCCCACACCAGGAAACAATTCAATCGAGAACTCAATCACTCTTAGGTGGAAATTCTGGTATCTCATCAGGGAATACATCCACAAACTCATTAATCACTGGAATAGTAGAAATCTCAATCTCCTTACCACCCACCAATCCACCCAAGAAAATATAACCCTGATCCCCAGCCTTCAAGGCTTTAACAACTTGACACATAGACAGAAAGGGAGACGGAGTGACCGAGGGCTTCTCGTGAGATAATATTAACCTCTTGCCGCAGCAATCAATCATTACGCAGTTTTGAGACAATCAATCCATGCCCAATATCAAATTAACAGAGGCCAGGGGCAAGATAATCAAATCAATAGTGTAGCCCCTGCCTTCGTAGATAAACCCGACCTCTTTACAAATAAAGGAGGAATCACTAACCTCTCTTGTAGCCGTAGTAATACGCATAGGGGGAATCCTCCGTGATACTTTTAATCCCAACCCCATAGCAACATATTCTGCCACGAACTAATGCGTAGCTCCCGAATCAAATAAAACAGACAAATTAGTATTAGAAATGAAAATTATACCTTTAACTAAATTTGGTGCCTTCTCCGTCTGCTGCGCATCAGTAGTATAAACACGCTCAACCGTAGGAGCAGATGGCAAGGCCTGCAAATTCGTAGCCTGCCCAATATTACTGTAACAATTGTTGGCATAATGCCCAACCTTACCACACTTAAAGCACGAATTCGGAGCCGCAGTACAAGGGCCTTGATGAAACCTCTTACACTTATAACAACGAGGATTAGAATTCCTGTCATTGAACCCACTTCTCTGACCACCACCCCTTTTGAACTGCCTCGGAGGCTGCCTTACCTGTAACCCCCTACCTCTATTGTTATTATTACCTGGAGGACCAGATGTCCTCGAAGAACCAGACTTCGGATATCGGTTATAAATGCTTTCTACCCATTAGCACTGGGTCACTAAATCAGCAAAATTCCTCACAGCAGTATTGGACATCCTCTTAGCAATTTTCTCATTTAAACCTCTCTGAAACTTGGCAGAAAAAATCTCAGGAGTCAGAAGCACACCCCCATAATTAGCAAACTTCACTAACTCATTAAACTTTGCCACATAGGCATCAACTGTCATGGTACCCTGTACCAATTTCTCGAACTCACCCTGTTTAGCTTCCCGAACATCCCTAGGAAAGTACTCTTCATGAAACAGCCTCTCAAATAAAGCCCAAGTAATTTCTTCTTCCTCAATAGTAAAAGGCTGAGTGTATTATACCACCACTCGTGGGCATCTCCCTCGAGCATATAAACAGAATACAATAATCTCTGGGGATCCTGACACCCCATAACCTGAAATATCTTCTCCATACCCATCAGCCAGGTAGTCACTACCTTCGGGTCCCTTGACCCCTGAAATGCTGGCGGTTTATGCTTTCTAAAGGAAATGAGCCTCTGCTCATCAGTACCAACAAATACTTGCCCAGCAACCCTAGACGACTGAGCAGCAATAGCAGGATCCACAGAAGGCTCTGGGATATAAGTAGGATCAGTGGTGTGGCGACTAGCCTCCTCAGAGTGACGACTAGCCCCACTCCCCTCCTGGTGAGGTGTAACAGATAGCGTACGGGTATAAGTCTCTGTAGCCGTATGTGGAGGAGAATCATCCCTCCTGTTTCAAGCCCTATCTGCCCTCATCTCAGTCATGAAGGCATGCACCATATCCTGATTTTTTTTCATCAGGGTCTCGGTCATATTTCTATTTGCAGCAGTCTCTTCCTGCAGAGCATTAAGAACTGGAGAAATAAGATCTGGTGCGGCTAGACGACTTGCACCTCGAGTTCCACGGCGACCACGTGCCCTACTCATGATATCTGTACATATAACACAGAGGAATGAGTTGATCGGACCCACACTGAGGAATCACATATGCAGTAATCATAAACAGTTAACAGATAACTATGCAACACAAAATACAGTAATGCATTATCAGAGTTCCCTTACAAAACTGCTCTGATACCATAAAATGTAACAGCATGTTGTACACCGGTATTGTTAACATTAATTATGATATTAAGCGCAGTTACAATCACATCAATTCATTTATAAAAATGTGAGTAAACTTTTTCCTTTTATTACGCGAGCTTTTAAAACCGTAAAAAGCGTAATAAATAAAAATTGTGACCATAACTGTAAGTTCTTGCGGAATACTTGTTTAAAATTTTTTTATATCTTATTTTACTTAATACAAGTCACTAAGGGATTCCCATAAACCCACTTAGCCAATTTCACACTTTTACGCTTTCTACCTATCCGAACGTGGTTCGGTACATTTATTTATATTCACTCAATTTTCTTCGTGTTCGTCTCATCTTTTAGTATCTTTTACGGGACTTAATTAAATTTCTAATGAGCTATCACACGAGTCATTTCGATCTCGTTGGCTCCGGCTATCGCCGTTTGAAGTTGGACAAGCAAAACTGCCAACCAACCCCAAAACAGCTCCAAACGTCTCTCACTCCACGAATTTCTGCAAAAAATAAACTCAACCAATTGATCTCAAATTATTATACCACAAACTAGACACCTCAAGATTAAATTTGACATATCATAACCCTAATTTGACCACGAAACGAAGCGGGAATAAAATTCCCAAAAACTGCCAGAAACAGCCCCTGCACAGGTGCGTTCTGGACAGTCCATCTTCAATGGTTTCTACAGGACTGAGTTCAACCCATAAAATTCCCATATTTTACCACAAGGTAGAAGACATCTCAATCTTCAAAATGGAATATGGCACGTCCCTATCGGACCTCTGTTAAGGGTGATATGCTCTCCCGAAGTTTGCCTAAATTCTGCCAATTCTACAGAAAATTCGCCAGAGTTTCCTTTGTTTTTCCAAAAATTCCCAAGTTTGCAAATGCTTTCTAATACCTCAAATGTACCTAATAACCAATGAGTGGCACACAAAAGGACCAACAATGTCTTGGAGCACTTACAATCCAACTCAGTTTATAGTTATTACACAATTCATACCATATTACTCACTTTATTATCCTTGAGTTATTTCAATCACCAATGTCCATTTACATGCAAATTCTCAACATACAAATAATCATAATCCTAAAATAGACCTAAAGCCCTTCCATCATATTACATTAAGTATCCATTGTACAATTACAACATTTCACTTACATATTACAACTTACAACTTACAACTTCATAACTTTATATTACAACTTGAAACATGAGAGTGATAATGAATAGTGGAAAGCTTATGTGTTTAAGTGACTTTGAGTGGGGTGGGTCCCACCGCCACCTCACACGATTTAAAACTTATTTGAATTTCTCTCCAATTCCCCTAAACATCCATCAATTCACAACCTATTTAGAAACTCTAATTTTTAGCATTAACCATTGTCCTTTAATTACACTTGATCAGATGAATCCGGAGTTTTCCGGTCGTTCGGAGAAAATGTTGTTTTAAGCTGTTGCGCGCTGTTGGCACGCTTCCCCAAACGTACTTATTTCCATCAAATTTTATCAGAAATCATATTCCCTAGTTCTATAAACCATTTATAACTCATATTTAAAATCTAGAGCTCAAAACTCAATCGACACGCTTTACGGTGCAACTGTACCGCGATATTTTGACCTGGTAAAACACTATTCTCTGAATTTTCTGAAACTTTCCTAACCACTCAATTTTTCGTTCTGAATCCATTTCCAGGGTTATTTTTTCAATCTGAGACCTTCTACTCAATTTTTTTTATCTTCCTAGGGTTGCGTGTTGGCTAATTACCGTTTTGCCATTTCTTTGTATTTTGGCCTAATCTTCAGGATTTTCACTAATCCTTCACTTAATTACTCATTTAATATTTTAATACTTAATTTAGAATTGTGAGGTGTTATACTAGGGGCTTAATCAAAGGGATTAACACATAAGGTGGCTATTTGGCTATCTAGCTAATAATAAAAAAATGCCTCTATTATTTCAACCAATATATACTATAAACCATCTCAAGCAAGAAACAAAACAAGTTCTAGAGACTTTTCATACAGTGAAATGCACACCGTATAAGAATTTATTTGTTTAGGCTCAAAAGCTCATAGTTATGGGTGTAAGACTAAATCCCCACTCTTCATCCAAATCACTCTAAGTCACTCTCATCATATTCCAATAAATTATTCGACTTACCTAATTGGTGCTCATTAATGCATAGAAAATAATAAATTAAATCATCATAGTCCTAATCAAAACACTAATTAATTTTCTTTCTAATCATTCATTTATGCATAATCAATAATCAAACATTTTTTTCTTACGCTGGAAATTTTTTCGATTTGCCAAAATAATAAATGGAGATGGGGGACACAATAAACTAAAATTAAAATAATTGAAAGCAGAAAATTTTTGGGCTGCATCTCAACAAGCGCTTGTTTAATGCCACGAGCCTGACATACCTCTTTGTGATCATGGTGGTTGGAAACATGAGCTCAGTAATGACTCCATCTCCTCAGTCAAATAAAATGCAATTTCATAATACTTCTGTGCATATGGATGAGATAAAGTAGCCACAAGAACTCTAAACTTAGCTTTATATGTTTTCCTTTGCTCCTGGGCTTCTCCACTTTAACCTTTAACTTGCATTATTCATATGATTGAGAAGACTTATCCTTGTGTTCCTTCTCACATTTCTTTTCATCAATAAAGCAAACTTGGTCTTCTAGTTGAACTATAGGCGGTAGAACTTCTCTTTTCAAAAACTTTAAATGTCGCTTGCTCTCCATCCAGCCTTAAGATCATCTCACCCTTAGGTACAACAATTAGCACTCCCGAGGTTGCTAAGAAGGATCTTCCGAATATCATCAAAATAGTAACATCTTCCTCTATATCAAGGATAACAAAGTCGACAGGAATGATAAACTTGTCTACTTTGACTAGTATATCCTCCATAATGCCATAAGCTTGCTTTGTAGAGCGGTCAGCCAGTAGCAATATTGTCCTAGTTGGCTTCACTTCCGCGATTCCCAACTTCTTCATCATGGATAGTGGCATTACATTTATGCTGGCACCAAGATCATATAACACTTTATCAACAATTAATTTTCCAATCTTGTAGGGGATACTTAAACTTCCAGGATTCTTTAATTTTGGAGGCAGTTTTCTCTGTATGATTGCACTGCACTCCTCAGTTAAAACAATGGGTCCATCCTCTGTTAGCTTCCGTTTCTTTGATAAAATCTCCTTTAGTAACTTGGCATAAGAAGACATTTGCTCTAGAGCTTCGACAAAGGAAATATTAATTTGTAATTTCTTGAATATATCTAGAAACCTAGCATATTATGACTTTTGAATATGTTGTTTAAGTATCTGTGGATAAGGAACTTGCCCATAAGGTAAGAGTTCCAATGGCTTATCTTGCCTTTCTTAAGACTTCTTCTTCTCCCACTTGAACTCTTTCCTTTCAACCTTCTCAGGATTCACTTTTTCTCCTATAGTGTCATCAGTTTTCTCATTTCCCTTTTCTTCAAGACTTGAATCAACATCACTCTTCTTATCCTTACTCTTTTTTTCTCTACAGGCTGGAATAGTTTCCTGATTCTAGTAGTAATTATATTGCAGTGCTCCCTTGCATTGACTATGGTATCTCTAGGGAAGGTACCTTAAGCCCTATCAAGATTCCTTATGGATGCTTCCTGATTCATGGATGCAGATCGAGTTTCTTGCATGAACGCAGTTGTATTATTCCTGAAGGCGTCAGCACCTTGTATGTAGTCAGTAGTAATTTTTATGAGTTGTGCAATGCCTTCTCTAACTCAGAAGTATTACTTTGCTGAGGAGGAGGTGGTTGCAACTGTTGTGATGATTTGTAGGAGAAACCTATCATGGCATTCAGACTATGTTATGGAAGACCATGATACATAGTTTCTTCTTATATAAGGAGAGCGTCAACCTTTCAAGAAGATATTAGTATCCAAATACTTCTGTGTAGGTGACAACAGCACAAGAAGAAATAGAAACATTACATAGAAACAAGACATGGAAAGTTGTTGTATTTCCAAAAGAAATAAAAACAATGAAAATTAATGGGTCTATAAGATCAAACACGATGGTAATGATCAAGTGGAACGATACCATACAAGATTAGTAGTTAAATGATATGCTCAAAAGGAATGTATTGATTTTAATGAGATACTTTATGTAGTTGTTAGGTTTACCACTATTAGAATTGTTCTATTTTTGTGTTCTGTTTTCAGTCGACATCTTGATCCGCTATATGTAAAAACTATTTTTCTTCATGGAGAACTTTAAGAAGAAATATATATACTTCAACCATAAGGTTTTGAAGAAAAATGAAAAGAAAACTTGATTTACATGTTAACCAAATCTCTATACGGTCTAAAGCAGACACAAGATGTTGGTATAAGAGATTTGATTCTTTCATAGTATGTTTTAGTTACAAGTGTGATAGAGTCCCACATTAATGTAGGATTTCACACTTGAGGAGCATATCAATGTAGGGTTTCACACTTGAGTGGGAGATTATTGGGTTATTCAAGTGTGATGGAGTCCCACATTGGTTGATAATGGGCTAAGTGAAGTGCATATAAGTAGGAGGACCAATGAACCCAATGCCTTAAGGTTTTGGGTTGAGACACAGTGTCAGACCCACTTAGTATGGTTAGTGTAACTTAGCCCATTGCTGGTGTTCCCCCGCCACGGGCCCTTCCAGAACTCGCCTGACAATGGTATCAGAGTCGATTGGGCTCAGGCTAGCCAAGTGTGTTTGGCTAGGAGGTGGGTTGTGTACCTAGGCCAAAGGTACTCAGAAAGAGGGGGAGCTTACCAATGTTGGGTTACACACTTGTGGGGGATATTGTTAGAACATTCACGTGTGATGAGTCCCACATTGGTTGGTAATGGGTTAAGTGAAGGCCATATAAGTGGGAGGATCCATGAAACCAATACGTTAAGGTTTTGGGTTAAGATATGGTGTTGAATCCACTTGTTAGAGTTGGTGTAGCTTAGCTCATTGGTGGTGGTCCCTCGCCACGGGCTCTCCCTGGACCCGCCTAACATAGACTGAGTTCACAATATTGTACTTATTACAAGAGATTTGATGATAATTATTACATTATTTTTTTATATGTGGTAAACATGTTGGTGGTAGGCCCCAACAAAGATCAAATCCCAAAATTAAAGGCACGTTTGGCTAGGGGATTCGATATGTAGGGATTATGACCGACAAATAAAATTTTAGGGATGTAAATTCACCAAAACAAAAAAGATAAGATGATTTTTTTTCTCTCTAAATAATTATATAAAGAAAATCTTATGACACTTTAACATGCAAAATTGTAAGTTAATTTCTATCCCATTTCTTGTTAATTATAAATTATCCTCAAGTATGTATCCTAGCAATGTCACAAAGGTGGTGGAAATGTCTTAAGTACCATATACATAAAGAGTTTTGTATGGAATGATTTGTGCGAGACTAGATATTGCTCAAGCAACCAGTTCATGGAAAAACCCAGTAAAAACATTGGGATATTGTTAAGAGGATCCTAAGATAAACAATAAGAACCTCACATTTCACATTATGTTTTGGAGGATATGAGTTATTTATCATAGGATATATATTAGTTCAGATTTTGAAAGTGATCTTGACAAAAGAAAGTATATTACAGGCTATGTGTTCACATTTGTTGGAGAAGCAACAAGCCAATTATCAAATCTACAGATTGTGGTTTTATTTACGACATGAGGTAAATATATGACAATTACCCAAGCATGAAAGGAAACAATTTGGATTTAAAGATTAATGGAAGAACTCGGGAACAAATAATTAATTTTTTTTTTTTGTATATTTTGACAATCAGAGTGCCTTGCACATTGTAAGGAATTCAACCTTTTATTTAAGGATGAAGTATGTAGGAGTTCAACACAATTTATCAGAAAAGCAATCGATGAAAGAAGTATTGATATTCAGAATATTCACACTAAGAAAAACTCAGCACATGCCATGACAAAATCAATCAATGTTGATAATTTCTTATGGTGTTGATCCTTTTATGGTCTATTAGAAACGTAAACATCATGGAACTGTCAAAAAAAGAAAGATTTTGAAAGCTCATCAAAAGTGATTTTAAGCGGGAGGTTGACGTGAAGCATAAAGTCACTTTCGGTGGCTACTGTCAAATAAAAAAAGTAAGTTATTATTAGAAATTTCACAAGTTGTTGTGCAAAATGCGGAAGGAACGTGCAAGGATCCATGCATGCACATGATTGCATAAATTCTTCCGCCTGTAAATACAATTCATTTCCCTATGTTCTAATCATCCAAAACTTAGAGACAAAAGTATCTATAGTGTTTCAAAAAGTGAGGTGTATATTCCTAACTCAAGAGAAAGTGATATTATTATCTCCTTACATTTAGAGAGGTTATAATTTCTTTCACTTAATGAAAATAATTTAATCTTGTCAGTGATTTTTCCATTATGAATTAAGGATTTTTCATGTTAAATTTCTTATGTAATTTCTATTTTTCTGGTATAATACTTTAATACCTAATACTTTTGGAGTTACAAAAATTAACTTTATCTCTCGTGATAGAAGAAATATTAAAAACCAAATATAAAATGTATTTGTAACCATAACTAACACTACATCAAAACTACAACTCTTTTTTTGTAATATCAAAACTACAACTTTACTTCTATTTATTCGTTGAACATAGATTTGAATATAACGAATGAATCCAATAACCTATTATGTTCTCTTTTTCTGACAATATTTTTTCTCTACAAATGAAAAATATTATTAATTTCAGTATAAAAACAACTGAGAGAAAATATAACCATTTAAAAAGAGGTTTTTTACTTAAAATTTTATTTTTTTAATTAGAAAAATAAGATAAAATAACTAGGGATTTGAATCCAATTTGTACTCCATATCCTCATATGAAGGAAAATATTTTGTGTTATTGGAGTACTGAACACTCAGTATCTGTTATCAAATATGGTAAAAGATAATATACTATTCAGACCTTTATGATTATTTTGTTTCATATCTCTTTTGTTTTTTCCTTTTTGATAAGGGAATATCTATTTCCATTGGGAAAAAATGTGATTCACCTGAAGATATAAGGTCCTTTATTTCTGTCAACAAAAGGTAGAGAGAAAAAATAAAATAAATGTGAATTAAAGTGTGTTTTACATGAAATACTTGAATGTAAAGGATAGAAAGAAGCAGGAAGAATTGATAAAATTTCTTATATGCATATTAAATATTGTTTTAATTATTAGAGTAAACTGACACAAATATTGCATTTCGTACTATTTGATACAACAATCGATTGGGGAGACACCACTAGGTGAGGAAAATTGGGAGTTATACAAGTGTACTCACGAATTCACCTAAGAACCCCAAAATTGGGTAAATGATAAGGCAGTGCGAATAGTTGTGAATACAGTTTAAATCTTTAAAACACATATACTTTTGTATTTCATTATTATTTTTACTTACACTAATGTATGACATATTTGATGTATGGAAACTCTGTAGGACACCTACACAAGGCTGAGGGAAGAAAGGAACACTCAGGTCACATCAGGGGAGGAGGGTAGCGGTCCATCTTCAGACATTGACCTATTTGTGGAGGCGATCAGAGGGCTAGACAAGAAAGGACAGATTTATGGATAAGGATCTGAAGCAAGCGCTTACAGGAAATCATGGCTCTCTAGCATGACACCATACGAAGTTTTGCAGCAGGACAATCATAGGATGCGCGAGCTAGTTACACAACAATCTAACGAGAATATATCTATTAAGGATCAACTTGCACAATCCGAGAGCCGGCTTGCACGCTCCAAGACCACGATAGAAGCAATGTAGAGGCAAATGCAAGAGATGCGTGATTTCATGCACAGGATCCCATCAATCATTTATAGTCCTAGCTGCTTGGATACTCAATATTAAGTGGACAATGATGAGACACTACCACCAACCTAAGACCCTAATAATGAATATGAACATCTTGGTGATAATGGGGAGGATTGATGTCTCTTTTTCACACATAGTCCTTTTAACATTGTTCTTGATTTATATTTGTGATATTGACTTGTATACATTTAGTACGTTGAATGATGTATGGTGTTTTGGGTAATTGATGTTAGTTTGGATATGTATTATCTGTATGAAATTATCACATGTTCATACTTTTCATTATATATAATGTTTTTGGTCATTAATGATAGTTTAGATGTATATTA